AATGAATTCAATATTTATGGACTTTATTTTTGTGTCGGTTAATTTATTTTTATCTACGATTTTTGTTTTTATATTAATTAATTCTTAACATTAAGAATTAAATTAAATAAAGATTTTGTTACATTTAAAATGTTAAGAATTAAATTTTTATGTAAAATTAACATTTACATTGTTTTTTTTTTACTTTTTATGAGTTATTATAGGTATAGGAGGTCCTCTGCTATATTTATTAGATGAAATGCATCAAAGATATTCTAACAATGGTTAATTATCTCCGCCTACTTTTTATTTTCCAATCAATTTCGTTTAGAAATCTTATCTTCGACCAATCTTCGTTGAAATTGATAAAATTTCTGAAACGTTTTATCTTACGTATTTTGCAGAGTATTTTATGTATTTATATATTAATTAATATATANNNTATATATATATATATATATTATTAATATTTAAATTATCTCTCTCAGCACATATATATTTATATGGCCCAAGTTATTAAACCGTAATTTTCTCAAGCACTTCAGCAATAATGTTATAATTTATATATTAAACAAGAACGAATGTCATTTTGAGTAATTTACTAAAGTGTATAAGTAATAAAGTATTTGTACAAGGCGACAATTGAGTATTTACAATGGTTAACGGACTTTTGAGCTATTCTGCGTACTCTATTGCTTACGCTCCTCATTTCAGTAATAATTATAAAATAAGGCATGTCTTTTAATAAAACATAACATCGTTCTATTTTAAATTATTACGTATGCATGTATATATGTGAATAAATATAGCCTACCAGTCTATAATATCGATAATTTTATAGTACGAGAGTAATTCTACGATAATGATAATGCTATGACAAAAGAATAATCTCTCTCCATACAATTTATTCAGATATCTTTGTGAAGCCATTTTGACAGGAAATGTCAAATTCCAGGGTTTAAATTATGGTTCTGTTTATTTTTTGCTTCAACGCTTCGGAACGCTCATTGAACTTAAAATATCTATTCATAGAATTGGACATAATAATTTTTAATCCATAACGGTTGCATTATCTTGTTCAGGGACCTCTAACCGATTCTAATTCAATAAAAGAATTATGCAGATAGAAAAAAAAAACACTGCACATTATTTTCTATAACGTGACCCAAAGTTCTAGTTTTTGTAAATTCTTGAAAATGTGACCTACGTGAATTTTAATGTGATGCGTTGTTCTTGTGATTCATTCCCGTTTAGGTCGTATGAATTTTATAATTATTATTAATATAATAAAGTATAAAAGCGTAGAAAATAAGCTTATAAAATTTTCTATACGGGATAATTATATTAATGATAGATCAATGACAGAGGACGGAGGCCGAGCGGCTAAGGCGGAATCCCACCGCTCTGGGGTATCCGGGATTGAGAAACCCAAGAAATTTTCGGGGTGGTCCACCGGATGTGTCGGGTCACATTTCTCACCAACCGAGCGCTCTATTGTTTTTCTGCCGAATCCATAATGGACTTGCAAAAGAGGTCCTCTTAATGTCCACAGAACGGAAAGGGTTTTAAAAAAAAGATCCACTAGTGCCCGAGTGGATAAAACTACTGAACATTGGTAGTAGGTCGAGGGTTCGTGCCTCACCAACGGGAGTTTTTCGCGTTTTTTTTTTTCACGTGTAGGAGCCATTCTTCTGTAGGAAGTCCTCCTGGATGCACACCCCCTTGACAGATCTCCAAGTGTTGAGTTGCCACACAACTCGCGAGGATTGGCAAATGGGGATTGTCTCCCAGTAGGATTTTCTATGGGCTCCTATTTAGGTAAGAAAACCCAAATTATTCCACGTGGCTAGCCACTTGACGAGGCTCGAACACATGAACTAACTTCCACTATTCAATGGCTTATCATTTGGCCATAAGTATGCGTGTGTATTATGCATACGTTCATATTTATTCAAGTTGAAATTGCGCATGGATCCTTATAATCGCTTCGTGTTAATTAATTAATTGCAATTTAAACATTTGAAACCTTCACTTTTTTTTTAAAGTTTTACAGAGAAGAAGGGGTTCGAATTGTATTTTAAATGTCTTTGCAGTCATTTTACTAGTTTTTACCCCAATAAAACACTTTTTTATTGAGGAAAACAATGATGATTCTACACACCATTCCCAAATTACTCCTAAAAGTCGCTTAATGTTTCTATTTCGAACTGTTGTACGCCATGCGGAATTGATGTCAAAAACTAAATTTTTTTTTCGTATAAAAAGTTAAAAATTTTTTGGATTTTTCCATCTTGTACAGGATGCGACGTTCCGCCAAGAGGACCAAAGTGCATCCATGCGTGAGACATTTTCAAACCTGCTTATTTCTTACTAGAAATTATGTCGTTTAGAGGAATATTGGTCAGTTCAAATAGTCTTCTAAAATATCGATAAACTTGTGTAAACAAATAAATAAATAAATAAATGGCCAGAGTTAAACCACTTTTTTTCGTATTTAAAACCTCGTTTTATTGCAATGTGATGATCTTGAACTATGTTTTTCATACAAATGTGCCTTGCAATTTATACATTTGAAAGGATTTATGACATATAAATTCATCGATAACCGAAAAATTCAATTACAGTCAAACCTCTCAACAACGGACACTGACGGGAACATAAGTGCCCGTTGTTTGAAGATTATTTTGTAGCAATTTTATTAAAAGAAAGAAAAGTTTTTGAAAAAAAAAGGCCACTGTTTAGAGGTGTCCGTTTTTGAAGGTTTTGCTGTATATTTTAATGCCTGATTCATAGTATTTAAAGTTAAGACAAGAGTCGTGTACAGTACATTTTTGAAGCGCCATTATATGAAATGTACACAAAATAACCTCTAAACAACGGACATTTTTATGTTCCCGTCAGTGTCTGTTGTTCACAAGTTTGGCTATATTAATTTTTATTAGAGTTTAAACACCTTTATCTGAGTTATCGCTGAGTGTTGTGTAACACACAACTCAATCTGTAAGATAAGACAGTTTCGTGTCTGAGATTTTCTTTTTTTCCTAACAACTTATTAAGCCCTACTTAATTGAGATCTAAAGCAATAAGAAACTCGATAATTTAATTTAGATTTAGCGATTTAAAACATTTTAACGACCAATTGTTAAGTTACATAATCCAAGTGATCCATTATGAAACTCTTGTTGAATTCGTAATGAATTCTTCATTAATTTAATGAAGATACAATGAAAAATATATAATTTTTCTTTTTATTCTTAAAAATAAGAAACGTTTTGACTTCTATATGTAGACTGTAACATTATATAAATGACATAAATAGTTTGTTTTGATAGAGAAATAGAACAAATTTCTGCTTGGTGATATCTCATCAAAGCGTTATATGAAGAACAATAAATCGGTTTTTGAGAATTCAGGGCAAGTAAATTTACGTGTTCAATCTTAGGTTGCTTAGCAATATTCAAAGATAAACAAATAACTAAACTACTAAGTGCTATTACAAAATGTTATCTAATAAAAAAAAACACTAGAGCCCAGTTAGAATGCATATTTTTAGCATCTAGACAGTAAATATCAGAAAAATATTTGTTTACTTAGTTAAAAATACAGGAAATGCATTATTTTAATTATTTTCCGGGTCCTTACATCTGTATTTTATGAATAAAATACGCTTAGCCAGCGCTCTATGAAATACGAGCCGCGCCGCAAATCTCTTTGCGGCGCGACTCGCAATCTTTACAACATCGATGTACTCTTTTAAAATAGGTAATACAGTCATAATAATATATAGAAACGATCTTATTTAATAGTATTTCTTATTCTGTACAGGCAGTATATCTGTATATGTTAGTATATTTGTGTTTTCATACGGTTACCCTTCGTTCCTGTGAGTATGGCTCCATTTTCTGTTACAGAATGATGCTGATTTTCAAGTTTCAGACGTAACTCCTTTGACACTTTAATACGCTAAACTAAACACAATTAATTGATTATTCTGTAACGTAGAAGTTTTGAATACAGAGCGTGACTGACAGACATATAACGCTTTGATATGTAGATTGGATAAAACTACTGAACATNTTATTACAAAAATATTTCCTGGAAGTTTATCAAAAAATAAACATATTTGATTTTGATTTTTATCACTTCTTAGTAGGTTTAATTTGTACTATTTTTCGTGAAAAATGACATAAATTGGGACAAATTGACCCGAAATATCTAAAATGCATATATATATATATATATTTTAAATCGATTATTAATAGAAAATACATTCAAAAATAACATTAAAAAATGTCAAAAAATCCATAAAACAAACTTTTAAAATTGTTAAAATAAAATTTATAAAAAGCAAATTAATAATAAATTATTAAATGTATATTTTTAATATTAATTTACTTAGATACATCATACAATTTTATTTCTTAAAATTAATAAAAAGAAATTGAATAAAATAAAGTTTATACAGTAAAACCTGTCTAAAACGGAAACCTGCCTTAAAGAAAAAAGTTCTTCAGAATCTATATAGTAAAACCTGTGTAAGACGGAATCGATTTGCATGTTTCCGTTTCGAACAGGTTTTTAACAACCTGGTAAGAAAAATCATTCGTTTTGGACAGGTTTTACTGTATATAAATGTTGTTCTTTTGACAGAAGAAAACACTTTAAATAAACAATTCGTGGATATTGAAGATGAATAATCTAATTTATTTTTCCTAAATAAATAGAATTTATCTTTGATTATTTAATTTGATGAATAATCTGTCGAAGAATCAAACCTCTTGAAGCTTATTTTCTTCGAAATTTTCTATAGAATCATCTATATAATCATACAAAATAATAATAAATTCTATACTTAATGTTCAAATAATAGAAAATAATGGAATATGAAACATAATAGCATAAGAATAATAGCATTTTATATGTAAATACGAGTTATTTCCTTGAAAATTCTTAAGATAAAAATTGCATACTTATCTTGGAATTGCTGAAAAGTTTAAATCAATGAGTTTATAATGAATATAATGGGTAAAAAGAACTTACAGGAACCATTTGAAGATCTCAAAGAACCATTATTCCGTTATCAATGTTAATTAAATATAAAATTTCACATATTTCATACGTTTTTCATTACAGTTAATCATAATTTTTTAGAAAAGCAGTTTAAAATAACTATATTTTAAAAAATAAGTTTGAATTGTTAAAATTTAGACATAACAACTACGATTGGTTAAAGAAATGATTGTCTGAATGACGATTGGTTGAGAAAATAAAAGTAAAATTAATCCACGCCTTATTTATTTGTGCAACCAATCAATGCTCAGATTTACTCACGTCTAACCAATCGTGATAAAAATTTAATAATAATCTGCATATGTTTCTCTAAAAGTTTGCAGAGGACTACCTATATATATATAATAATCTTTCGTTTCAATTATTTTTATTTTAATGACTTCTAATGGTAATATTATGAAAATATTTATCTCTTATTTAAATTAGACTTCGAATATTTATATTTATGATAATAATATAATTAGAAATAAGTTATTTTATCTTATCGTTTGACATTGCAGAGTTATTATGGGCTATGTATTTTCTTTAATATAAATTTTTAAGAAAATAAGCATTTTGGTTTCTATCGATCTGGGCCCGAATTTTGATATTGACATATTTTCTAAAGCTTTCATAAGATAAATAAGAATAAATTAGACCGAGAAGAAATTATATCACGCTTCAATAAACAAGAGACAATGAAAAAGGGTGGACATATAATTGTTGGGCCCTAAAATATACAATATAACAGGCCCTTCCCCTCTACCAATACATGTAAAAATGTGAAGCCTTAATACTCATAACGCTTGGCTCCAAACTGATGGTTATTCAGCCTATTATTTTCGATTTTTAAACAAGATTCATGTGTTAAACCGATGGGAAAAATTCATGTGGTAGCGTAGAAGATAATTATACTTTTCTATTAGTAACCATTATAAGAGGGAAGTAATTTATAAATATTTAAAACGACAAATAAAACGTAATATCCGGGTTTCGAATTTTGGATAATGATCTAATTTCGGAATTATAACTGGCTGCGCGAAACACAATAGTCCCATATAACAATTCTATCTTTATAAAAATCTCTGCCCTTCTAAACTCAAAGAAGAGTCATTATGTGAACGTGACAGTAGGATAAAAATCTTGTATGTAAGAGTTAGAGAAAAAGGGTCAAGGTACCATAAAGAAACATCTTCCTAAGATGCCATTTTTATTTATTTTTTTTTAATATCTCGTTTCATTTTCGCGTGCGAAACACTGGATTTGTATGAGTGATATTTGTAAAAAAAATCAACTTAAACGATATTTTTTATATTAAAATTAATAAAATTAACCTTAATAAACAAATCTAATTAATTTTTGTTCTAGAAAAATGATTTATGGATGAATAATTCGCTGATTAATCGACTAGAAAACGTTTATGTGTTGGTGTTTGTACGTATCCTATGCCATCGCGTCGCGTGGCGCGTTAGTAATAAAGACGTATCGATTTCTTCTTCCTGTTATATATTAAAATATTATGTATTTATTTATTTATTAATATAGATGGAAAGGTACTGTACAAAGAGTATTAATATTATAGGACCTATAGGCTATTCGCGATGCGTCACGTTCACGCTTACTTAAAATAAGTATCTTATACAGAGAAAACTTGACCCATTTGAAAGTTTAGTGCAATTAAGTAAATTAGATATAATTTAAAATTCAAATGCCCGTAAAAAGCAGTAAATTAGCATAAAAGATTTTTTAAAATAGGGCAATTACCGCAAGTACACTTCTAATCTTCGCGTGCGCGTCGCGTCGCCTCTCACTTCATACTATTAATCAGCTATACTTCATACTATTAATCAGCTCGTATATTTCTCTTCTTAGATATATTTGTAAATATAAATATATTTATATATTATATATAATATATTATTTTAACAACTTTAAAAAGCATTTGAAACAATTTATAGAGAGATTTATATTTTTCGCATCCGTAACGGCGCGACGCGAAGCGCTGCAGAACAAACTAGAATAGAGCGAGAAATGGGAATAATAACGCTTTTAAAAACACAAAAAAAATGAATAATTTTAGGGAATTATGTCTAAAAATTCACTTCAAGGTTTCTTTGTAGACTATTAAACGGAATAATATGCACATATAAATTTGAAATTAGAAAAATTGATTAACATCTCATAAGAAACTAAATGCCACGCACGTTAATAACCTACTTACAAGTCTATATTCTAGATATGAATGATGCACGATCAATTTAAAATAAGTTATTACTAAGTTTAAGGACACGAGATTAAACGGACGAATTAATTAATTATTATTTATTTATTTTTTGAATGCCTTCGTCTCATTCCTGTTTGTATCAGCGTACATACACCCCGCAGTGTTCTGAAACAGTTAATCATGCAATTCACCATACAAAATGACTGTAGGCAGAGTGGGATTATGAATTTAAACGCTTGATTTTAAGTAAGCGAACAGAAATTTATTCTAAATATTCAAATTATATAAAAATATACGAGCTTTTGAATAGAATTTCCTAGAGTATCAATGTGTTTCCTGATGACCCGATAGAGGAACAGAAAGTGAACGGGATTGCGGGTTACGCTGTTAACAGGAAGCAACAAGTTTATATTGTGACCTGCCACATTATGTAAATTAATGCAGCAGCCTTTATCGAATATCGGTTTCGGATCAGCTCTTTTATTTCTTTTATTGTAAAGGTAATTCTTTAATGTGTTATCTAGAATAGTGAGCGACGCGACGCGACGCGCCGTTACTGTAATTTCGTTATAAGCGTACTTGTAATAAGAGAAGTAAGTAATTATACAGTAAATGCGTGATGCGTGAGATATTTATACGCGATTAAACAAAGAATTATTAAATTTTAAAGCATTTTTTAAAAGGTTTAACTATAAAATTGCATAGAATATTATACTTTATCTAAATTGCTCGTATTGCTTGTTCGTGTTTAGAGAGAGATATGATGTCACTTTGGATAAAATTTATGCGAGCGGCGTGCATAATAATAATATATAGATGTACACATTAACCAAATGAAACGATAATAAATTAAATTGTTATAAACATAAATTACTTCGAGAAGATAAAAATAAAATAATTGTCTTTTTCACATTGCTTATCAAACTGCATCCCTCTTCACAGTAAATTGTGAAGATAATGCTTAGAAATTGTTATTTAAGTGAATAAATTATATAAAAAAATCAAATTTATTTATAAAAATTTGTATACTAAATCATTAATGAAGTTTTCAAGAAGCTGATAAACATCCTCTCTGTGTATAAAGTATAAAATAAAATAAAATAAAATTTTTAAATTAAAAACTGCTCTTAAAATTATATAAAAAAATTAATTTTTCTTATATAAAATAAAAAATAGTATAATTTTGCTTCATTATTTAAAATTAAATTATAACTTTTCAGCTAAATTTAATGAAACTTCGTTAAATCTGCTATACATGAAGGTTTAATTATACAAGAGTATACATACTTACAATTGAACTGTTATATATATTATTTTTTCCATCCTAATTATAAAATATATTTCAAAAAGTTAATATTTCCTTACAATAAAACACGTTATACAAGGTTATGAAATACGAAATAAACCAGGAAGATATTAAGAGATAGTCTACACAATTAGTATCAAAAAATGTAAATGGCATACAGACATGCAATTTTTGCAGCCATCTTCCTCTATAAGAGCAGCAAATAATTGGCATATGATTTAATAAAAAAAAAAGATTAAATGACAATTAAATAATTAGACATTTCTCCCAAGGGGCATCTATCCAAAGGTGGAGGATCTCTCTTCCTGATTAACCTCTTAGATGAATTATAAGGAAATTCTCGTGTAATTCTCGTGTTTATTGATTTTAAAATGTACCAATTATAAATTTAAATTAATTAAAAAAATAGAAAATTATTAAACAATAGATTGTTAAACACGAAAACAATTTAATTATATAAAATGAGCAATTATTATTTAGGATTATTATCTTTCAATAAATAAATAAATAAATAATTTATCATGCACAATAAGAGATTAAAAAAAATTCTTATTATTACGAACGTATATATTTCTTTTTTTTTTTAATTTTAAGTTAATATTATCAGCATCTATTGTGTATAATTAGAACATGTTGGAAGATTTTATCACATTTCTGTACATAAAAGTGGATCAAAAATAAATCTCTGAAATTGGTACAGTGTCTGTTTATAAACTAGATAAAAGGAGTATTTATATATCTTAATAAACATTTAAAATTGGGGGAAAAAGAGCAAATTATTTAATTTTTATAGTATATAAATTCAGAATAATATCATATAATAAAATATTATATTTTAAAATTGTTTATATAAATTAATTCTAATTATAACCAATTTTAAAATGTTAAAGAGATAATTGCAAATTGTAGTTAATTTTCCTTTTAAAAAGGCGATTAATAATCGTAAAAATTGTCTGAATATACGTAGTTTTTAACTATCTCCGCCCATTTTACAATTTCAGCCAATCGCCGTGCAGATAATCTTATTTTTTATAACGTTTTTCTAGTACGACTTTCATATTAGAATGAGAACCGCCTATGTTCATTTAAACGTTTTAAATTAAATTTTACGTTTTTAAACGGAGTTTTAAGATATTGAAGTATTTATCAATGATTATTTAAGTGCGATTATCTGTTGTTTGCAATACTATTTAAATTTAAAAATGTAATTTCTTTTTTCTATAAGATAAAATTAGAAATTTTAACTGAAATCAATAAGTATAGTTGTATGAAATTTAACTGTATAAAATAATAATTATGACTATATATAGAATAATTATAATTTTATTAATTAAACATCCTGTCAAACTATACAGAAATAGTTGTACTCAAATATATTTTAAATAAAAATTAATTTGGCTCTTAAATGGGGTGTTGTGTTTATAGCCTATATGATGTGTTTATTAGCTCAATTAAAAGTGTAATTTTTCGGAAATACCAATTATATACATCATTGGTAATCTATATGTGTATATATACATAAATACACTTACTGTTGAGTTATATGCGGAGTACTTCAAATAAATATATGTACAGGTGCGGATTTAGGGGTTCCACAGGGCACAGCTGTGGGGTTTTTTCTAGTAAAGCCGGACACCTCAGGTTGTAAAAACTTTGTACAGAATACTGTTTCCTTTCTGCGCCTCCCTCTAAAGATTTCTGGTTCTTCTATTGTGTATATACACTTCTAAATTCGAATATTCTTATTTTTTAGTAAGGAACATGTAAAGGTATTGGCTAACATGTAATTTTAAAGCTGTAACTATACACGTATGCGGCTTTAAAATTGCATGTTGGCCAGTAGAAAAATTAATGTAATGAATAAAAAATTCAATTAAGCGCGCCATAAAAAACACATTCCTCAGGAAATAAGAAATTGACCTGTTTAAATTTATTTAAAAAAAAATTATAATAGAATTAAATTCTGAACTAAATTTGAGGATCCAAACTTGATGATTTCAATCAAATTTTGTGTTTCTTTTAAGTTATAATAAATACGATTTAAACTTAATTTCGGTTGAAAATTATGTTTTTCTCTTAAGAATTCTCAAAGAAAGTAATGTACATTTATAAAATATATAAAACGAAAAAAACCACAGATTTTTCTAAAAATATATTTAATCTTAGTTTTTTTGGATGAACATAAAAAAATAATAATAATAATTTAGTAGACAGACCATTAGCGTTGCAGGTTTTGTGGTTTGTTCTCGATGCGAAACGCACGAAAGGGGAAAGTATAAGAAATGTTTATTAAAAGAACATATTTCAATAAGGAAATAAGCAATTATTATAGTGTAAATGTAAAAATCTTCAATGGAATTATTATAAATTTTCTCCAGAAAGTGTAGAATTTAATTGGCTCTAGTCGTATTCCATTGTAACTGAAATTTCTTACAAAAACAGCCAAAAATCTTGTACCTAATGTTGTATACTATGAATATATTACTTTGCAGTAACTAGGTATCAGTGTTCGTAGGCAAATGGTGTGTAAAATTAAAGATTAAAGTCACGCGATGTAAGAATATCGTTCGAATTTTCTCATTTCCTCCACTTCGATCCATAATATGTCCTTGGAAGGATCCATAATTTTTATATACGCTTGTAATAATTTCATGCGTGAGGTAGAAAGACATCCGAAAGAGTCATGCAAGCGGATAAAAGAAGCTAGGTTTTCCATTTATAAAATTCCCACATTATTTTATATGAATAACTTCCAGAAAAGTGTATCAGGACCTGTTTGTACTGCCCAGAGAAGGGGTGTGTTGCACGAACTTCATAGCAAAGGTCATCAGGTGTAACCTAAGACTTTTTCTAAGGAGTTGAATGATCCTTCTTTTCTTTGCTGTTTACCAAGAGGTCAAGGTCCTGTTTTGAAATATTTTATTAAAAGTTTCCCCCTCACGATGTGAATAAATACAAATTAATTAATCTTCTTCCTAATAAGATGTATCCCGATGAATATTAATCGAGTTTTTTTTATAAATGTAACATTATGATAAGCAATATTTCTTGTTAAGTTTTTCTTTCTGCATCCAGAAAGGTGGTATTATTATTCTGGATCACCTCAAACAATAAACGCCTTCCGCATTCTCGTATGCATTATAATTCTTCCTAATTATCTTCATAGGATGTTTAATGGCTGCATTTAGTTATATACACGTCTAATTTATAAACATCAAGCATTCTACTCGAACAAAGTAACCTACGAACCGGCTAAAAACCAAGACATTAGTATGCAGAATGTTCTTCATCTTATATGAAGCACCAAAAATCTCGAAGATCCATTGTAAGATTCTTATGTCCACGATGATATTCTAAAGGACAAATGCCCTCAATTCAGTATATATCATTGTCTTTCTACTTCCTCGCCGAGGAATTACCAAGAATATTTAGTTTGACTGTGCCTCAGAGCGTGTAATTGTACCAAAGATCAATGCACTCTACTCATGGTCCAAGTTAAGTTGAGTTCGAGTTCTGCATGAGTGATTTTGGTTTCAGCACTTTTCCCACGAAGCCGTGGGGAAGACTTATTATTATTTGAAGATGGGTCAAGCTCAACAACTCCCGAGTCGCTCGAAATATCACGCAATCTTAAGGGCGAATGGGATAGAGAGATAGAATAATCATGGTCTTATATGGTTCCATGCATTCGTGTATAGTATGGTAGAATCGTCTGCGCTTAATAATTTATTCTAGAAGTGTTCTAGCTCGATACGTAACTACATTAAATCTCTGTAAATTAATTATTTAGTATCATATTTTATTCACTAACGATACGACAACGTCGTTAATTATATAAAATGGCTCTTTTCTTAATGGATCAGATTAGCAATTGTTGCTCTTGTATTCGTAATAGTTAATTATGGAGTTAAAAATATGAAAGTGCCTTGTTTTATTTTGATAAAGGGAGATCATCTTAAGTATAATTTAGCAATTTTTTTCATACTTTCTATTATTTATAAAGCAATAACAATCATCAACAACTTGAAAAGTGGCTAGAGATTTGTTAAAAGGACCATTTTAAATAGAAATTATATGCAAGTTTATGCACAAAAAGTGCTATAAAATTTAATTTAAAGCACTTTAAAATATATATTAAAGTTTAAGATTTTATTTTAAAACATTTTCTAGCTATTGACATTCAGACAAAGTTTATCTTTCAGTTAAATTTCCCGTAGTCTCAGCTGCGATATTGCTTCAGTTATACAGTATTGTTGCATTTGTTACTGTAGTAGCATCAGCTGTGTTCACTCAGTTAACAATTCGTGAATGAAATATTACCAAGAAACGAATGAAAAGCTATTATGGTGAATAAGAAACACGTAAACAAGCATATTATTGTGAATAAGAAAGGTGTAAACAGACACACGATACAATCGTTTAGTGTATACAACAAAGGAAATTCGAATTATCCTTAGAGAATTTATATTTTTGGTTACGTAAAAGTAACAATTCATTTATAATACATATTTATTTATTTATATTATATATATA